AAAAAAAAAAAAAAGCAAAACATGCAAAACCAGAGGCAGAAATACATAGCAAGAGACAAGAACTGTGAAAAGCATCAGGAGTTGAGTCTTACCACCACTGACGAATTCCATTATCCGTGATAGGTCGCGTGTCAATGAAATGCTTTTACAAAATCCACTTTTAATAAACGTAAAAAGGAAAGCAGGTTATACAAAGGGGGAAGCTACAGATTGATGAGAAGAGAGAAGCCTGATCCAAAGGGACATTTCCAAGGGAAGGGAAGAAAGGTCCAGGAAGAAGAGTGCTGAGTTCTGATTCCTCTGACATTTCCCGTGGCCCACCCCATGTACTCGAATCGAGGCCTCATCGAGAAGACTGCTTTTCATCTACAATAAATATGTATTAGGCAAAATATTTATATCATTTGGCATTTCAGAGAATAATGGCATATTTTTATTACATTAATTTTTTTTTTCCTCATAGCTAGTTCTAAGATTTCTTGAGGAACACTGGGTCGACTCCAGTACAGGGGGCCTTCTGAATCAAACCTGATCCTCTCCTGTGGACTACTGCTGGGTAGTTCTAGTTACCCAGATGTCCTTCCCTCCCCCCAAAAAAGCACCCTCAAAGGTGATCGTGTCTATGTCCTAACGGCTAGATTCACCCACAGAGTCAACCAGTATGGGCGTTCCTAGTTCCTGGTTCCCTTTCACTTTCCCTCATGACACAGTGGCATGGCAGGAGTTCCTCCGCCACCCTCCTGGTCTGTTACAGCCAGACAGGGTAGGCTGGGGGGAGGTGGGCAGCATGGACAGCCACCAAGGACAGGCAGGCTGAAGCCCCACAGACAGCCACCATGAGCAAACAGGCTGAAGCCCGGTACACCAGAGGCTCTGGAGCCTGCTTCAGACTCACGCTGAGCACAGCAAGATGCCTCCGAAGACAACACAGAAATAAGCGATTGGCACATGGCCCACGCCAGAGACTGACTTCTGCAACACACACACACTTCCGAGTCACGACTGAACCACTGCAGGGGACACTTTAACATGACATCAAGGGAGTGCGCGTGTACAATATACATAGTAAATGCACATATTATACGAGTGACAAAATTAGCATATAGTGTTTGCATTTCAGGTGTCAAAAACAAAACCAGCCCCAAGTTCCATTCTACTGCATGACAAGTACTGAAGAACAAAATTTCAGTCTTAGAATACATCTTAAAGTCAGTATTTTCCTTCAAGGAAAAAAAAAAGTACTATAAATAAATTACAATACAGTGAATTTGCCTGAACTCACTTCGTTTCTGTCTTCCAGCCTTTAAGTCAAATAAAACAGCATAAAAACTGTACATTCTTAACATGATACTTGATCTTTTTATAAAATAACCTGTCTTCAGAGATGTCGATTTCACAACAAGGAAAAACCAAGCCCTGTTGCCGTCACTATTATAAAATATATATGTATAGATATACGTGTTTTTTTTTTTTTTTTTTTTTTTTTTTTT